TATCTCAGACATCAGGATAACAAACAAAGCATCATTTTCTGAGCAAGTATCATACTGGTTACTACATGCTGTCACCAGCCATACAATTAGACAACCAATAAACACAAAGACAGTAGCTCTAGTATAGGAAATTGCTGGAGGATACAGCAGCATCTTCACAGGCTTCCCCTGTTCTTATACTCTTCCAGTGGTATCTGCCATTGGCCATCCCTGGGAGACAACATACAGGGCTAAGTGGATCCTCGTTGGGTTATCAGTTGTTTCACTGTCTCTTATCAAACACAAATTCACATGGATAGAGATGCTGTCTACAATACAGTAATTTTGATTAAAAAAAAAAAGCACTTTTTATATTTGAAGACTGACGAGTTTAGGGTTATGCTTTCATTACAAGGGAACCAATCTAAAAAGTGTAAAAAAAAAAAAAACAAACAAACCACAAAGCACTGCCTCATAGATACCTCACTGCAGTTTTATAACCAGTAACTAGCAATGCCACTGAAAAAGGCACTTCCATGTTGCCTACTTGTTTTTTGTTCCATGCTTCATCATGTCTTTTGCCATCTCAAGCATTCACATGGTCGTTAAGTTGGGTCAGAGCTAATCTCTTAGAAACAATCCACCCACCAGCATCCTGCTGAGCTAGGATCCTCCTTGTAGCAGACAGACTTAAATAAGAGTAGGAAGAAGCAGGCGGGGGTATCTGACGACTTACTAGACACACAGCTAGCTCTGTTTGTGGCATCTGACAATCAGCTGGCACACTGCCCATCAGTTGCAAAGGTAGCAACCTCACAGGGCATCTACACTGACTACTTGGTGATTCAGCAAAGAAAACAGTAGCCCACGGATCCATGCTAGTATGGAAACGCAGGGTGGATGGTCTGGAGTGCAAGCTCGGGTCATTGGGCAGAAGACTTACATTCAGGATTTTCATGGCGTTATTTTCTGAAATGCTGCCAGTTCCACACGTGAGGCTTGAGAGGGAGGCTGAGTTAGGAAGCCAATGATACAGAGGGAAAGGATTTAGGCATGATGGGAACAGGAAGAACTCATTAGGCATGCACATTACTCATGCCAGAGTCAGCCAGACTGGCATGCTAATAAGAGCTTCAGAACTTACAAACACTTCTACACTACTGCTGGAAATATCAGAAGTTATACATGGGAAGCCCAAATGCTTGGTCTCACCTGACACCCTCAAAGTAACAAGTATCTCCAAGACTTGGTGGAAGGAGGACAAATCAATACAGTATAATGCTGAGAAGCTACCAGCTTACTCAGCAAATTCCACAGGAACAACAAACAACAGGCAGGTGGGGAATGGCACTGTATGTGAAGGACATAAAAACATTTAATGGCATAAAGTATTACAAGAGAAGATAAAACCAATGAACTTCTTATGGCAGAAGTCGCATAATCAAGTAATAAAGACGTGTCGTCAACTGCACTACCAGTTCAGGGAGATTATAAAGTTGCAAGTTTAGGAAAGGTAGTAACAATGGGCAACTGAAATCTCCTGATATCAAGTGGACCTTCTGTCTCATCAGAATGACATGTAGAGGGTTTGTTGTTTTTTGTTTGTTTGTTTTTCCCCAAGTAATGACTGCTTCCTTGGAAATTAGTGCTAGGACCTACATGAAAAGATGCCATTTTTGGTTTAGTTTTGAGTGGTACAAGACCTAGTTAAAGGATACCGATAGGAAAGCTGCTCTGTAACTCTGCCTGCAATGCAATTATATTTCAACATTGTAGCTGAATACAGCAGGCAATAAAAATATTTGGTACATGGATAATGAATTTCAAGAAAGGGAACAGCTTAAAAAAAATTGAAGTAATTAGTAATCCTCCCAACCCATTCTCCCTCAAAAAAAAACCCAAACAAACAAACAAAACCAAACACAACCCTAAAAGGCGCAATCCAAACAGCAAAAAGACTGCAACAGTTTGGAGGCTAAAAACAAAACCACCAATCCCCACAAAAAAAAAAAAACAAACACCACTCAAAAGCAGACAAAATTCTGTATTAAAAAAACAGGTAAAACATTCACCACAGTTAGAAGATGAAACAAAAGCAGTCAAAAGAATGTCTCAGCCCCAGCAACAAAAGCCTACACCCTGCCTGACTTGAATAGGGAAGTTAAGGCAGGCATCAGAGAGAGGTCAGCTTTTAAAAACAGAAAGCTTGCCTAATGAGAACAGAAGAGATTATAAAACATATGGTAGGTCAAAAGTAAACAGAAAACTAAAAATGTTTGGGTAGCACCTTGCAAAGTTACTTAACTACATCAAAACCAGGAAATCTAGAAAACCCAGTGGGATCTCTTGCAGACCAAGGTGGAAAAGGGACACGGGGATGACAGCGCCAATGCAGAGAAGCTCACTGAGCACTCTGTACCCAGTTTGTACTGGTGAAGCAACTGGGGAGACTTTGGCACCTATCTTTATGGTATACAGATCAGAGGGACTAGGTCAATCGGAATTAGGTACAGAGGAGACATCAGGCTGAATGGACGAGTTAGACATAGTTCACCTAGACCAGGCATTTACAGGACAGTTCCACACCTGGAACTGAAGAACTGCTGGACAACAGGTCGCCAGAGTCACTCCAGTGCACACAAAAGACCCTAAAGGGACTGGCACTACAGAAAAGCAAATGTGATTTCCATCCCTGCAAAGCAACAGTGGATCAGACCACTGTGCACACAGACAACAACAGTCTGATGGAAACAGTGTGCACAGGTTCTGTAAATAAAAACCCTACCAAGACTGCAACTCTTCCCCCGAGCCGGTGCCAGCTTACATATCCCTCTGAATTTGGGGACTGAGCCATTGGATCCACTGAATATCTCAGCTGAACACCAGGTAGTCTTAGGGAAGGGATCAATCAGGATTATTTTGGAGAAAACTTTTAAGTGTAATCTTCAGCCACCCAGAAGAGGCTCAAGACTTTCTGTGACGGCCTGCACGTTCCTCTGCTACATATTGCAGGCTCCTGGCAAACCTCACCATCTTCAAACCACGATGCACAGGTTTGCTGTGCATCACAATGTTTGCAACTACGTGCTTAAAAGCACCATGATGCACCCGGATGAACTCAGCAGGGGAAAAAACCAATCCCATAACCTTGTTTAGCCTCATAGAGCAGCCTGTGAGCTTTGTTCTGCTGACTGGGGAATTGGATGTAGGGCAAACAACTGGCAATACTGCTAACAGCAGATACAGGAAAGGAAGTTTGTCAAATGTGATTGCTTTTCCTTCCACAGCATCTGGATGTACTCGCAGGCACCAATCCCTCTGGTGATGGTGCCAAAAGCTGGAAAAAGCCACTGAGGTGAGTCCACCGAAAAAAAAACACCAGGTTGAAACTCAAGCATTTCTCTCCACCGATATCTTTAGCAGTGCTGGAGACAATAGCCCTGGCTGCTGGTCTCAACTAGCAGAGCAGTTACATTCTCAGAGCAGAAAACAAATCCAGGTTAGAGCAACTTGAGCTGCAGTTCTTAGCAGTCTAAAATTAATAGAGGCTGGTTGCAAGGGTCCCATCTCTTCCCAGACTGCATGGGAAGACCCAATCCTTTAAGGCAGCTCTGGCACTTAGCATCCTAAAAGACTCAGCAAAAAAAGTCTTACAAGTCAGCAAAAAAATAGCTTAAAAAAAAAAGCAGTAGAGTATCTGCTGCTGACTTATCAAGCAGAAACAGCGCAGCAAGCACACACTGATCAATGCAAGCAGTACAACGGAGGGTGTGGGGCACCTATATGAGGATGTTTTGCTTGCCATGGACAAGCAGTCTCATTCAAACGTTGCATTTAACTCACATTAGCCCCACAAACCAGCAGACTATAGACACACCATTAATTACGCCTGCAACAGATTTGGTATGTGAGTGAAGTCAGACTGTGAAACTACAGCCCAGTCCTATAATGTCATTCGAGTGGCTCAAAGGATATAAATACACTGCATAAGGCAGTCAGCTATTCAACACTAACAATACCAAAGGAAAACAAAATTCTGCAAGACCTAGAATTAACCTCAAGCAAAGGGACTACAATGTTTCCACAACAAAGCTTAAACATTTCCTTCTAAAATTAAATATTCCCTCAAATACCACATGAGATACAGTCTCTCATAACTATGTAGAGAACACCTTCTGTAAGATCCCTTCAAATGTCAAAATAGAATTTCAAAAACCACCTCATCAGCCTGGAAACACTGGAAAATAACCAGGGAGCATTTTAATTTTGATGGACTAAAACCTGTGTGTTCATGTTTTGTTTTGTTTTCCTTCGCTAGATACCATTTTATGAAAGCAAAAAGCTACCTACATTTTCAAATTAACTTTGAAAATTACACAACATTTCTGAAGCTATCTAACATGAAATCACAACTACATTGGGCACCAGCAAAATATATATAGGCTTTCAAAAGTGGTACCGGAGTTCTCTCAAAATACTGTATGCTACAACTCTGTCACAAAAATATATAGTACAAAATTGCTAGTTTTGTAAGAGATAGTTATTTGGTACACTACCAAAAAGCCCCCAACAATTCACTATCCATGAGCAGATCCCACACACCCATAATTGAATCATTATTCTGGGAATTAACTGAAATAAAACAGCTGTGGACCAAATCACTGACCTAAAGGGTAATATTATTTTGTTGTTATTAAATCTGTACATTGGTTAGTCAATGACATTTCTAAAGGCCAAACCACTGAACATGTATCTTTATTCTAGAAGACTAAAGATTCAACCATCCTACTGCCTATTTATTTTTAAAATCAATACTCTTATAATGGCAGAGGACTTTTAAAGGTCTATGAAAAAGGCTATAAATTCCTTGAAAACAACAGAGAGGTCTGAGTTGTTCCTTTTTGATTTCTCAGTGTAACGCTTTGAGGTGCCAGACCTCCTATTTTCACGTCATCCAACTCAGAAGAATTCAACTATTGTCTCAACCATTGCCCAGACTCCAGGATGTAATTCTTACTCACCAGACCTGACAGTTGGAGGTGGGCACCTATTTTTCTTTCGGTAACCTGTGACAGGTGGGTCTACACTGTGATTGGAAAGTTCTAGTGAAAACGAAAGCATGGATTTGCACACTTGACTTTGCTCAGGAACAGCCACTGGTACAGCAACCACCGCATCAACAGCACTCAGCTCTGTGCCAGACCATACAGGTGAACAGGACATGGCATGTTCCACCTCAGCAGTTTACCTCATGGTGTGAGGTCAAACTCTTCCTTGGACCATGGTTTCCAGTTTTATCTCCTTAGAAGTTGCCATTGCCTCAATGGCATCCAAGCCCAAAACACAGGTAGCAGCGGCCATCCTTCAGCTGATGAGGGAAACTTCAACTGGGATGAGGGGGAAAAGAACAACCATCATTTAAAAACACTGATAAACAATCGTATCAGCTGTGGAAGCAATAATCACCTACTATCTCACTTTGCTGGTCTGATTTTAAAAAAACCAAAAAACCCACCAAAACTCATCTTTGCTTAAAAAGTTGTTCACATACCATAATTTCAAAACTTATCAATGTCTTCTGACATCTCAAAGTAAACGTGGAAGCCTCGACTTCCCCAGATACCTCGGGGTGAGCCTGTCATTTCAGCTCCGCGTAACTCCCTTTCACAGAACTTTGCTCCTAAACTGCTCCATTTCTCTGCTGTCATGAATTGCTGTGCAAATCGAAATCCACTGTTAGCTGACTGAAGTCGAGTAGTAAAGTCTCCAGTATCACTAGTTAAAAAAAATTACTGCTTAACAAATACTTTGTTTGCCACTTGAATTGTCATTTCCTTAGGTTTTATTTTGACAACCCTTCTTATTAACAGCAAAGACACTGTGTTCAGAAGAGTAATATCCCCATTCCCTGTTCAACATGAACCATTACTGAGTTACGGTTCAGTTCCAATTCAGTGAAAAATTATTTATACACATAACATTCTCCAAATTCATTACCTCCACAGAGCTCTGTTATTGACTGTTTGCCTCTGTTCATCTCCACCTTGAGAAAGATATAAATCTTATTCAAGCCAAAAGTGGAATGGAAAGAACAGTAAAAGTTTCTCTGCCAAAGCAAAACAGTTTATTAGAAACCGAACCCCACTTACCAAGGTAGTAATCCCACTAGACCTGAAGAGGTCACAGAGAGTCAACTTGGGCATCTCTGAACTCACACTGAAACAAATAATCTGCTCAAAAATAAGTTATTCCACTTTCTATAGAAGCTGCCTACAGAAAGTTCATCTAACAGTCCTGGGAGATAAGATATTAAACTTCATCTATCATCACTATTCTCCAATAATAATCTTTCCTTTAAAAGAAAAAAAGAAAAGCATCAGTGTCACAGTTTAAAAGATCTGTCTCCATATTGAGGCACTGAAGCTATTAGTGACAGCACTGAACTTCTGTGTCAGAAGTATCTGTGGATCATTACTAACGACTATGGCTGTACAAGAGGACATGAAAAATTTACCATTTGTAGGTGTAAATAAAAAAAAAGGAATTTTTAAGCTAGAAATAAACTGACAATAGGATATGGAGAAGATATGCTCTGTCACAATAGCCTGATAACTGCAGACTTTCAATGACAAAACTAAAGCTTTCATTCTTGAAAACTTCATCACCAGAAGACTTCTCAATCTAGAAGATACTACCAAAGCAGAAACCACTAAGGGACCAGGATTACTGCCATCCTTCAGTCCCCTTCCACAAGGGGCACCAAGAGAAGGAAAAAAAAACGCCACACTGATGCCTAAAGACCAAATCCACTCCAGAGAACTTAGAAAGAATGAGGGACCTTTTAAACTATCAAATCTGTTAAGCTCACTACCAAAGGCAATGCATTATATTTTTTTTTATCATAAAGTGATTGAGATCTATCTAAACTACTTGGATTGCTTGCCCCCACTAATCCTATTAAAGCTTACTATAAAGCCATACTGTTCCAGTAAGTAAGTAGAAACCTTATATTCTAAATCTAAAACTAATCTAAAACAGTCATTTTATAGCCTTTTGTTCTTCTGGCAGTACTGGCATCTAGTTTAAATAGTTAATTTGTATCCCTTGGTCTTTCTCTTCCTATATACACATACATATGCACACACAAACATATATATACACACATATACATGCACACCACCCCCTAATCAAATTTTCTACCTCTCAGTTACTGTTCTGATCCTCCAAAGCAGCCTAACTCTTCGCATCTTCCTTTGCAAGCTCATCTCACACTTCTTCCAGGCACTCTCAGCTGCCCCGCTCTGCAAACAAAACTGTCTTTCTTCTGAGAGCAGCAGAACCATAAAGTTTTACAAATAAGATCTCGGTGACTCTCTTGTACAATTGTATTCAATACTTTTCTGTTTTTACTGATAATTTCTCTTTAGGATAGCTCCTTGCCTTTTACATATCTATAGCATAATGAAGGCTAAAAGACAACTGGCAGTCAACTGGTAATACCTGGAAACCACTAAGAAGAGAAACAAACTCCTAACTTACAGAATCAATTTTTAATTACTCCTGAAATACGTGAAGCTGCTCTATAAAAACATTGATTTTCATCCCATTTCTAACAGTAGAGCCCCTAAAGTATTTAAATCGTTCCTGTGCAGCATCCTGATCTTCCTCCCATCTTTGCTTTGTTAAAATTTCATTATAATTTACCCATTGCTGGCAGGGGTGAGTGGGTCGGGGCAGATTATGGATAACAGACATCGCTTCTGGCTCAAGACATCACAAACTCCAAGCTACTGATGGCTAGAAAAAGATTTGGGAAAGCGTCACTCTACAATCACTGCTGGTACCTTCCTTGCCACCCCACCTTCTCTTTCTGCTCATCTCCATTTTTCAACATTCAGCAAATCAAGGAATCTTGTTTCACTGCAGAACCATAGTTTACTGGCTGTAATGGGGCAGCCGAAGGGTAACCATACCCTCCTCTCAGTTCCAAAATGTCCATAAAAGAATGGTGTTCATGCAACTAGGACTAACAATGTCTAGAGCAGAAACAATTATGCAATACGATTTTGGGAAGGTCTTGTCTTTGACTTGCGCTAGCGGACTTAACACTGTCTAACCTATTCCCAGAGAAAGAAAATTGCCTAAAAGGGCGAAGGAGGATACTGTGACTAAGAGTACCCAAACGGAGAAAACTATCTTGGGGAAAGAAAAAAAACAAAAATCATTGAAAATTCTGTGACTTATTTGAGAAGCAACAATAGCCTTTGAAGGATTCAAGCTAACACAAATACAACCATGATTCACTTCCGATATAATGGATAACAGTTTTTTTTTAAAAAAAAGAAAGGGAAAAAAGTGTACGCCTCCGAGTTGCCAATTTAGGCAAGCATCCTGAGCCGAGTCTGGAGAGCTCTCTGGTATGCCTTTCAGGGTAATCCCATCAAGGGAAAGAACAATCGCAACAAGAGCCGATTTCTACAGTCCCTCTCACTACTAACTTCACAAAGAAAAGTATGTTGAGGTACCTTATTTTTTTCAGTAAAAACACAACGTAGAGAAATTGAGGATCTCATCCAGGTTTGTCCACCATAACGACATGGTCGGGAACGAAACACAAGTCTTCCAAACCTCACTGCAGTGGTTTATCCTGCAAGTCACACTTGTCTCCTCTAATAATTTGCATAAAGAGAAGTTGGACAGAACCTGCAAAACCCTAGAAACACTCAGAGGTCCCCTGGCCCATCAATGCTTTTATGTAAGATTATCTCTTTTTCTTTTTAGATTAATCCAATCACTTACAAACAAATAGAGGCCTTATCTGTGGAACCATCTGAAGATTACTGATCTCTCTGCAATGGCCTCTTCCAAGAAATTTCTAGCATCTCCAAAAACCAACTCTAGTATCAGAGAGCACTCTGGACTGCTCTAGTTCTCTCCTCCAGAACAATTCCCATTAACCATTCTACATAAAACAATGACCAAGAAAGTAAATTATGTCTATATTGCCTAACATTTGGATGTGTGTCTGTGATACATACATTTAGATGACTGCTTCTCAGAGGAAGAGTAAATATCTCACATCTCCAATTTGTAGCATATGAGCTTCTAAGATGAAATCATATCTAAGCATGTCTCAATAGCCTAGCACTTTTCCCTGGGGAAAAAAAACCCAACATTTTTTTAAACAAAAAAAAAATTAGAGTGAAAACTTCAGAAATAATCAGACTTATAGTCTCCATAATTCAATTTTTGAATTTTGACAGTCTCAGGCTAAAAAAATGTACAGAAACCATAGTAGGAACCATTCAGGAATAGCTCCCTTATTCAGCAAGGACAAAAGTTTCTTATTTCCAACCACTTAGCGTAAAACACATTGTAGCAGCAGAGTGCTCATCATCTTCCTCAGTCTTCATCCATCCTGTCTTGTATAACTATTTTCAGCTTACGACAAATAAGCTCATGTGCTGCTGAGCATCTCGACACATTTAAAGAGGAAGAAAATACACTTAAGTTAGCAGAATGGTATAGGGCAGTAGGCAGTCTTCAAGTAGGTTATTCTAAGCCACTTACATTATGTATGTAAAAAAGCTTAACACCTTGAAATCCTGCAAAATAAAAAAAAAGAACAAAAAAAAAAAAAGCTGCTGGCAGCAAATAACCTGAAGCACAGATTTCATATTCTCCCAAAAAGAGGCACTACTGGGAGCTACTTTTTCCATGGCTTAGATTTCTATGTTAAAATACGGTCTAAGCGCAGCAAACTGCAATAATTCATCCTTGAGGCGAAGAGAGAGCACAACGGTAAGCATACATGGGAATATGTGTCTCACTTGGATCTTTGTTCTGTGAAATAAAGAGAACGGTAACTTGTATTCTATTTATCCTTCTTTATAGCCCTTTATTTTTAATGCTTGGTTTTATCCAGCATTCCTTCTAAGTGAACAGCACCAATCCGTATCTTCTTTCAACTTCTATTCCCAGTATTTTACAGGATTTCAGACATTATGGTGGCAAGTATCCCACATGAGATTTTTGCCACCTGCCTCTTCTCTATCTGTTTACTTTTCAGTTCCAGTTGAACTGAACCAGAGCCAGAATTATGCTCCTATTTCTCAAGGAAGAGTGAATCTAATCACTAGAATTTCACATTCTATCAGTGCCTTAATAGGGATTAGTTTTAATATTACATTTCCACTTGGTTCTTCAGAGTTTGGATAACTGTT